CTGTAGGTGTACTACTTGTGCTTTAACTTTGAGTTATGAGCGAGAAAAACAGAAATACATGTATTGATGTTTTCTGCCTTCAAGTACATGTAACTCCTCTTTTCAACACTAATTCCCTGCTGTTGAAAATGCCCCTCTCGAAAGGGACAGTTGTAGCTGGTATGTAGAGTAATTTTCAAGCTACATGTAATTTAGACAGGGAGGGAAAGCGCTCCGAATTTGTGAACCACCATATGCAGGGATTGGTGCTGACTCCAGCTTTTTTCAGTTTCAGGAAATGTGAGTACTCCTCTTCTTGGGAGTGTTCGGGTTCTCAACTCCACTCACATTCTGCTTCCATGATGGACTCTGATGGCACATTCCCACTCAGCAGAAAATTCATTGCTGATGCTTCTGCTGACTCTGGTTCTATGTCCTCCCCCTGCTGCTCTGTGGGGGGTATCATGTCAAGTTCTGTTGACATCTCGTACTGCATCCCGCTGTACTCTCCTTAAAAATTCCAGGTTTTTATGTTGCGGGTCCAATGCTGAAGTCAGTAATGGCACGTCAACCACATCACCACAGAACCTGTGAAAAAAAAAGGCAAATAAAATTGATTCACTGTCACTCAACTAACAAGCAATGAGCATATGCTTTTACTCTCAAAATGAAACCAGATGGTATTCTTTTTCAGGCAGATGGACAGGGGAGCAGAAGGCAGTATCTTTGTTGTTGAAAGAATGTCAATTGTGGTTCCTGGTCAAATCAGCATTACACTTTACAGATAGTTTGGAAATACACAAGAGTTTTATGCACAGTTGGCCTTGTGTGATCAAACACTCAAATGAGCCAGAAATAAATCACTTTTTAACTTTTAACTTTTTTGGAAATACCTGGGCTTATGACTATAATTTTCAAAATAGTTTCTTCTACTTAACATTGTTGATGATACTTATATGTACATTGAAAAATACTTCTAATTGAGGTCATCGCAGACTGCATTCTTGAACACTTGTACATGTACTTGGGGACGAGTCTGTTTCATCTTGCTTCAGCTGGCCCTTCAATCCTTGAACAATTGGATAGACGTAACTGCTACATGCGTTACTTTCATATGACAGACAGGTCGTTGCCACCTACATGCAATCAGGAAACTTGGGAAATTGGTGGTCTTGTGCAGAAGCAACTTTCTAGTTTTCATGACGGAAAGAGCTGAATTATATTGTCACCTAAGTTTTCAGTTGACGCTATGGAATCTGCAACTTTTTCTTCTGTTGCTTGAATGGAACCTTCTTTCCCATTCCATGTTATTCTTTACCAACTGAGTTGTTAGGTGGGTGACCATCTTGATATTTCTTTGTTGGGAAAGAGAGCCCTGTGGCTATAAGGTCAGCCTTCACCTCTTGAGCAATTACTCTTATTTCTTGTTTCCTCCCTTGCCCGTCTATAGTATAGGTAAAATATCTTTGCCTCACCAACAGGCCACCTGTTGTCTAATATCCTCCGTAAATATGTACCGTATGAAGAGGTAGTTCAAATGGCAGTACATTGAATGTAAAATATCTGGTGCAATCTTGAACATCCCCTGCAAACCCAAGGTACATGTACGTGTACTTAACCACTTGCTGCCGGGTGCTTTTTTTAACCGTTACATGGGCTGCCGGGCGGTTTTTTCGTTTTTCAAAAATCTTCAAAAATTCATATCTTTTTTTCTGAATGCCTAAACCCCATAAAATGGGTGTCCCATGTTGAGTCTAGCCCTCACAAGCAACTTCCATTGACCCTTCAGTTTTGCGGCCACGCCGCCCGCTCTGTATAGAGCCCCCATTGTATGTGTTACGTAAGGACTCGTTTGTTCCGGGCCTTGGCCCAGTGCGCTGCTATGCTGCCGTGTTGCTATGCAGAGCGATTGACGGTCAAGACCTCAGCGTGCATTATGCGATGAGTGAATGGGAAGCTGTGCACGTGCACTGGGCTTGAGTGAATGGGAAGCTGTGCACGTGCACTGGGCTTTGTCAACTGTTCAATGAGTGCGGGCAATGACGGACAAATGAATTCATGCTGT